GGATATGTTACAATTGGTTGCACAATTGTAGCTCTACTACCTATGTACAGTTCAAACTACGCAATTCATACACAAAGCAAATCGTGGTCTCCTCTACCTTGCCTTTCAAGGTTCTTCTTTGTTGAAGGCAGAGTGATCCCACAGCGAATGTGCATATCGTAGTGGGTGGGCGGGGTTTTCTCTCCATTCCCTGGCTTGCCCAAATTTTCATTTTCATCTCGTCTATACCATGATGATTTTATTGTGAGAACCTGTCTCTTCAGTTATTCGTTAAGAGTAGTAAAGAAGTTTCAAACAAAGTTAGAATATGCGGTCTAGTACGTTTTATATTGCAGTTTTGCCTATTTTTATGGATTTCGCAATACTTTTGTTGTCGACTTGTAAGATTTAAACCTCCTTGAAAAGTTTTAGCCCGATATTCACTAATTCTTGCGATTTATCGTTGTTTTAGTTTTTCTGCTGTTGAGATGTCTAATGCTCTAGATGTTTGTTCTTTCTAGGTAATAAAATGGAGGGCGACAAGCGCAATCTTGCTGATCTCTTGAAAGATGGCGGAGAGTCTGGCATCCCGGATTACATCGGACCTCTTCCGATCACAGTAAAGAAGCGCGTTTGCGCTCTCAAAAAAGTTCAGCTCGATAGCATTGAGGTATATTTTCCAACCATTCGTGATAGAATATCATATGGTTTTATTGATTTTAGGTTGAAGCGAAGTTCTACGAACGTGTTCACCAGCTTGAAAAGGAGTTCGAAGCTGAATTTAACAAACTTTACGAGCAGGTAAGGGCCCTGCTTCGTCGACACCTTGCATAGAATATGTGTAGCACCCTGCAATTATGCGCTTTTTTGTAGCGAAGAAAAATCGTTGCTGGAGAGTACGAGCCAAATGATGACGAGGCCAAGCTTCCGATTATTCACGGACTTGAAGACAACGAGGTTAAGGTGAGTTTTTTTTTGCGTTTACTGACAATTTATCGTTAATTAAGATTCCGGAGATGGTCGAAAAGCGGGGTAGGATTAGTAGGTCGGGGTCTTCTTAGGGCGCCAGTTTTGTTGTTTAATTTATCAGCTTCGTTAAGAATTATAATTTATTATTAAGGTGTATTTGATTCACCTTGCTTTGACCCTTTTTTGAATATGGGAATTTTTTTTTGATTTTTCTCAGAGATTTGCAGAAACGTCGGAAAAGGCTTTGAATGCAGAAAATGCTGATTGTTGCATTTCGTTTTTTTTTTCCATTTAGTTCTTAGGAAGAATCTCAATCCTGATAAAACTTTTAATTCTTTACTCAGATGTTGAGATTGTATTGGGTTATTATCACCTAAATGCTCTCTGGCGCTCGATGATCCAGGTCTTTGTCAATCTGCTATTGCAAATAGTTCTCATTCTCAGGCTTACTGATCATGCGGATTTCTTTATCGAAACTGATACTTTTGGTCTTGGCGGTAAAAGCTCCAGCTTCTGTAGACGACTTTCGTAGTTAAAAGAATGGATCGCGTGTTTATCTAGTTATCACGTTAGCTCCTTTGAAAATAGATATTTTATGTTAGAAGGTTATTTTTGTGCACATATCAACATTTTATCAATTTTTTCAATACTTTACGTCAGTTTCTAACGTTGACACAGACGCCCTCAATTTTTTGCTAGTGAAAGGGTAGGATCGGTGCATCGACTAATGCAGAACGTATTTTCGATTAAGAGACGAAAACATTTTGCAAGTGATTGGGAAATGTG